GGTCATGAGTTCAAGCCCTGCATTAGACTCCATTGATGGGCATGGAGCCTACTTAAAATTGAAAAAGAAAAGAAGAAATTATGCTAATTGAGGGAAGCAAGACACAAAAGGCCATATGTTGCATGATTTTACTGATATGAAATATCCAAAACAGGCAAAGCAGATTTATGGTCCCCAGGGACTTAGGAGAAGAAAATGGAGAATGACTGCTTCATTGTTACAGGGTTTTTGTCTGAAGTGATAAAAAACGTCTGGAATTAGGTCGTGTGATGGTTGCACAACATTGTGAATGGACCTAATACCAACAAACTATACACATTAAAATGGCTAAAATGGCAAATGTGTATTTTACCCCAATTTAAAAAAAAATAAATGAGGTAGTATTTTCCCTCTCCTCTGTATTCTGAAAGAGGTTGTGTAAGATTGGTATTGTTTCTTCCTTACATGTTTTATGGAATCCACCACTGAAACATCTGGCTTGGAGTTGTTGCTTTTGTTGTTAGCGTTGATGGTGATGGTGATGGTGTGTGTATGTGTGGGTTTTCTTACTTTGGATTTTATTTTTCTTTAACAGATATTGGACTACTCAGATTTGTCATTTCTTTTTGTGTTCAATTTTGCTAAATTTTGCTTTTCATAGGATTCGCTCATTTCATCTAAGTTGTTGATTTTATTGGCTTAAAATTGTTTACAACATGCCTTTTCTTTAATGCACTTAACATCTGTAGTGATATACCTCTTTCATTCCTAATATTGATAATTTTTAATTTTCTCTCTTGATCAGCTTTGCTAGGGGGTAATCAATTTTACTGGCTTTTTAAAGAAAAAAAAACAACCTTTGCTTTTTGTTGATTTTTGTCTATTATGTGCTTGTTTTCTATTCCATTGATTCTTATTCGTATTTTTATTATTTACTTTATACTAATTTGGGTTTAATTAGCTCTTTTTTCCCTAGCTTCTTAAATTGAAAACTGAGATCAATGATTTTAAATCTTTCTTCTTTTCTAATATACGTATGTAAAACTATAAATTTCTCTCTAAGCATTGTTTTAAGCTGCCTCCCACAAATTATGATAAGTTGTATTTTCATTATCATTCTTGTGTTAGCAAGACTAAAGCACCAGGAGTGCTTGTCTGCTGATCAGAGTGTAAATTTATACAACCACTTTGGAAAACAGTTTTGCATTATTTATTGAAGATAAAGAACAAATAACCCATATCCAAGAGATTCCATTTCTAAATATATATACTAGAGAGAATCTCATACACACAATAATTAACTTACAAATATGTCCATAGCAGCTATATTTAGTTGGCTAGGCTAAAATACGGTAACAAATAGAAAAAATATCAACAGCTTAAGAAACGAGAAGTTTCTTCCAAGATCACCTTGAGTATAGAGGTTAGCAAACTTTGTTCATGGCCAAATCTCGTCCAATGCTTATTTTTGTAATTAAAGCTTTATTAGAATACAGCGATTTCCATTTTTTATGTATTGTCTGTGGATGCTTTCATACTACAATAACAGAGTTGAATAGTTACAACAGAAGCGCAATGGCCCACAAAGTTAGTATATCTACTAAGTGGCCCTGCCACAACAGGTCAGCAAGAAGTAGGAAGGTATAGAGTACACATGGAAGGTTTTTATAGAATAGGCCTGAAATGGCACATAAAACATCTACTAGTTTTCTAGCCTCTGAGCATATAATATCTACTAGTTTTCCAGTGGCTGACATGGGGCTCGATCCCACAACCCTGAGATCATTAGCTGAGCTGAAACCAAGAGTCAGACACTAAACCAACTGAGCCACCCAGGCGCCATGTGCACTTTTATTTTTAAAATGTGTATGTTGTCTTTGTGTGTGTGTGTGTAAACAGGTGTGTAGTTTTATGAATATGCATAACTGTATGTAATTGTTGGTATACTTAATATGAAATCAAATTTTGTAGAAGAAATGAGTATAATTAAAAGCTGATATGTAACTTCCCAGAAACTTAATAAGGAATAGCACTTAAAGAATTAAGAAAAAGGAATAAGCTTGTCCTATGTCTTAGACCAATCATTCTCAACTTTTTGGGGGTCTCATGCCTTTTTAGAGTTTGATGAAAGCTATGGCCCCTTTCCTTAAAGAGTAATGGGCACACACATTGTGCCTAAAGTTATGAGGGAGTCACACGTTCATGAAGTATATCCATGGATTCCATAGGAGTCCCTGGGCCCTCTGTTAAAATTCCTTCTTTAAGTTGTCCTCATCAAATGTCAGTTATCCCAACTAAACTTTTGATAGAAGGATCAAAACAGAATAAATAAGACTAATGTTCAAGTCTTCTCTAATAGTGATTGCAGAGATAATTATATTCTTTCACCAGGCATATCTTCTTCCCTCACCTTACTCACAAGTCCCTCTCAGTTGTTTCTACTCCTGTTTACACATTTTAATTTCCCCTCACACCACCCAGGACTCTACCTAGACAGTTGCAGTAGTAATGTAATGAGCTGCTTTACCTGCCTCCGTTCTCTCTGTCCCACTCCATTCCAAGGTCTGCCACAGAAGTAATCTCTCCAAAGACCAGCTTGGTTTTTTTAATTGTGTTTGTTGCTGCTGTGTTTTATTTTTGAGGCCAACTAGAACAGTGTTTAAGATTAGTTTGCAATACAAGGTCAAAACCCAGCCTCGTTCTTACTAGCTGTGTGATACTGGACATGCTGCTTGACCTTTCAGTTTCTACTTCCTTATCTATAAAATGAGGACAATAATATAATTTAAGGACTGTTGGAAGGAATAATGAGATAATGCATATAAAGTGATTTAAAGTGATTAGCAAGGTACAAGGACATAATGATGCTCAATAAATATTTCCTGAATATATTAAATATTTAGCCTCAGGGTTTTTAATTGAATACTTTTGCTAATTCCATGCTCCTTATTCCTTCCTATCAAAATACCACCTCCTGCATCAAATCTTCTTTAATCCTACAGCCATACATGATCTCTCCCACTTCTTAATTTCTCAGACTTGTTGTACTGTTTATTATGGGGGAATAGCCTAAAAGTAGAACTCTGGGATCAGATTATCTAGACATGAATATTGTCTCCATCACTTAACTAGCTTTGTGACCTTGGGCAGGTGATGTAAGTCCCCTATGGCTTGTTTTACCTATCTGTAAATGAGATGTAAAAATAGTATCTATTGCAAAGGGGTTTTATGAGAATAAATATAACTAAATTCTAGAAATAGCAAAACTAGAGAGAGAGAACTAGAGGAGGGATAGGAACAAAACAGGAACTTTGGGGAGTGAGGAAATATCCTAAAATCAGATTGTAAAAAGAAATAAGTCAATCCCATGAAATTTTTTTTAAATTATTTATTTGAGAGGGAGAGCGTGCACACGGAGGAGGAGCAGAGGGAGGGGTTAGGGAAAGGATCTCAAGCAGACTGGGTTGTGGTCATGCTTTCATAAGCTATAAAAATTTACTACTATTTATCAAGCTGGTAAGTTTAAGATGGCTAAATTTTATGGTATTCAAATTATAATGAAGCTGTTTTAAAAAAAGATAAATGGTATAAGGCAGAGTCCTAGAGCAGGACCAGGCACATACTAAGCATACCATATCTGTTAGCTGTTGTCACCTTATACTGCCTTGGGTTATTTGTGATTCTTCACCAGGTTGTTCAGAGTATCTCATGTTCTTACTGTCCCGTCTTCTTTACCGTCCCCTAAACTAACTCTGAGCTTAATCCTGACACCAGCCCTTGCCGATCATTAGGTACTTGGTAAATATTTACTGATTGGTGCACTGCATGTACTGATGGAGTTTGTGTCTGGTATGAAAATATACTGGTTTGGGTTCAGGGTCCCACGGGTTTGTGTATACAAAGAAGACTGAATTGTGGATTTAGGTAGCTAGTCTTTTACGTCTATACAGCCAGTATTGAGTATAGCTTTTGAATACCAAGGATCATGGTGACTGTTTTGATGCTAATCTCTGCACATAGAAGACTCTTGCTTTCTCTGGGTCTGATTTTTCCCTGATAACACTGAGAAAGGGTACCATTCCCAGAATATAGAATACTATATTCTTGGCATTTGAGGGTCTGGTATTTGCAACACACCAAAGCTGTCTTCGTGTTATTTGAATAGTTACACTTCCCTCGAAGAAAGAGTAAATCTTCCCAAATAATTTCTTTAAGCAGCCTGGGCTGTAGTTTTCCAGGAACCAGAAGAAAATTGTGAGTGAGATTCTTACAGTCTTGCAAGAAAAAGAGGGATGTTTTGTGTTGTTTGGGAAGTAATATTAGGAAGGAAGAGGAGAAGGAGAAAATTATTGTTATTAGAAATAATAATTAGAAAACAAACAAAAACAAAAAAATCTTTCTGCCCATGCCATCTTATTTAGCACTCCAGAGGAGAAAAATAATTATTAACTGAACATTGCTTGTTAGAAAAGAACAGAGACCAAATCAGCCCTGGAATGGGTAGGTGAACATCTTTTCCAATCAGACACTTGTTTTAGCCCAGTGTACAGGTCTTTGAAAGAAGCATTCAAGATTTATGTCTGCCTTGAAAGTTTTAGGGGTAACAGCAGTTTAACTTGGGGGATTTGGAGGTACAAAGTGCTGGACTCAGAGAAATGAAATTATGTTTCCTTAGAATGGTTAAAGGGAACAAAATAAAGCAATCTACCTTCTTGGTCATTTTCACAGTAAACTCAAACCAGCAGGAAGATGACAGGCCATCAGGTTTAAAAACAAAATCAGTAGCCGGTCTGTTATTGCACAGAGGTACTTTTTTTAAACAAGATACTGTGGATCTCTGATTTTACAAAATCAAAACAACCCACTGAGTTTCCCATCTGCCATTGTTTCATTTCAGAGGGAAAAAAATAGCTTACTTTTAAAGCTTAGGGATTTTGGAATGTCTAATATATTGCTCAGAATGGACTTTTCCATTTCCTTTTATTGAATGCCCAAATTAATTCCTTTTATTGTTCATACAGGAACAGTGGCAGGAGTTAGAAAAGATGCATCCACATCTCCTATGACGATAGGAAGCCAAAAGGAGCTTGGAATCACAAGCTCATCAGCACTGCAGCACGACACTTCTCGGTAAGCCCCAGGGACTCTTTGGTTTAACATTCTCTAGGTAAGAGCCTTTTGGGGGGCAGGGAGTCATTTAATAAGGAGTGGAAAAGTCTTGACAGTTCTTAAGAGCTGTTACTCAAGAGAGAGGCCTTCTTTGGAAGCATCTAGATTTGGCCAGGTTGATCGCGTGGAGCTCTTTCCTTTACCCATGCCTCACCTTAATTGAAACTGGTAATTGGCAAGGATTTCCAGAAAAACACAAAGCGAATCCTATCTTTCATCAGAAAATGTGCTTCACAGCAGGTCTTTCCCAGTTTGTCGCAAAATTGTTATACACTTGGACTTTAAGTTTAACTAATTGAATTCATTGATTCTGAAAATTATGGTGGGTTTTGTATTACAGTTTTAAAGGACTGTCAACATTTATGGATACCAGAGACATTTGAAGAGTTAAGAATTTGCTCAGACTTTTCTGGAGTCAGGAAAAGAAATACATTATTAAAATTTTTTCACATCCAATAAGCCACCCACCTATTAGGCATTTAAGGCTGATTATATAAACAGCAACACCGAATGGGCTTAGTTTCAGCTTTCTTGGGAATGTGCTTGTTTGAGCACTTAAATTCCCAGCATCTTATCAGATGAATGTAGATTTCAAGACTTAATTTTAATTATAAAGAACTTTTGGGAAATAACCCTAACACAGAGGACAGTAATGACTGCCATCTATTAGGCACCTACTGTGTGTCCACCCTTATATGGACTGTCTGATTTAATCTTCATCAGAGCCTTAGGAAGTGGTATTCCTATCATTCTCATTTCCAGAATTAGGAAACTAAAAGATTGAGTGACTGGCCTAAGGTCACATAGCTAATAAGACGTAGAACTAGCTTTTCGGACTCCAAAGCCCATTATCTTAAATACTATAATAGTTGACAATAACAACCTCCTTATTTTGAAGGTGACCCACAAGCCAAAAAAAAAAAAAAAAATTTTATCTAGTTTACCACGTTCTTTGTCCATTACCCCTTTCTTTTATTTTTAATGCTGCCCTTATTAGCATTTTCCAAGTACCCACATTGAGCTGTCAGTTCTGAAATGTTGAGGGTGGGGGGGTCCCTCCTTGGACCACTCGGCATTGTGGCTGAATGCTTGTGCTCAAAGAGGATCCATCCCAGTCACCTTGAGGGCTTCCTCTGGAGAAATTACTGGTGAAGAGGAGAAATGATCTGGATTTTCAGTCTTAGTGAATTTTCCTATTGAAGATTAAAGCTAGCTCTTTAACGCTACTTTAATGTGTTTTTGATTATTGCATTTCAGTTTAGAGAGAAGCATGAAAAAGAATAAAATGTTTCCCCAGTAAGAGTTTTGTAGAACATTCTTAGCACACATTTTCTGAATGGACCATATCAACTTTGTACAGTTTTACAAGCCCACGTTAGAATTGCTGTGAAGACTCATATTTATGGACCTTAAAAAAGAGATTCTGTATCAGTTAGTTCTTAATACTGCAAATCAGCTAAATATAGATTCTCAGAGGTTTCATAAATAATGAGTACTTGGCTAAATAAAACAATGTGTAACACACTGGATTTCATCCTTAGAAGTGCACGATGGCATATTACAGGTTTATTATACAAAGTGCAGAGTTGAAAAAAAAGATTCCGTACTATGAAAATCAGTTACCAGGAGGGCACAGTGGTTGCTTTCCAGATTTCAGAATCAGGATTATTTGAATTATTCTTATTTCAAAGTGTTGAAAAGGCATTTTTTATAGACTACTTTTCAGTTACATGCAGGCTCTTAATGCAAGACAAAACTCTGTTTATTCTTCATCCCAACAAACCTTTGAACGTACTGAGAAGAGTAAAAGCCTATTCACCTTATATTCCCAGAATTTTCCAAACTTAGAAAACAGGTTGGGGGTGGGACAGATGGTGGTGGGAAATAGGTTTTCCTTTGTTCTCTGAAAAGTGTTAACACCTCGAAGAGTCCCATATTGTCCCACATGCCGGTGATAAAACCAGGCGTGGCAAAGTCATCTTTCTCATTCACAATGTGGGCTGTTAATTGTTCTCTCTGCTGCCTGTCAATATAATGTGAAATTTTCATTCCCCATTCAAGATGGGAAAAGTTGTGGCTGAAAATGTTAACATTTGCATTTTTATTTGTTGATTTATTTAAAGGACAGCCTCTCCTGCAGCAATCCATCACTTGGTGACACCCCAAATATGAATAATGTATTGTAGACTTGCGGTTACAATGTGTAATAAGTGCTAGAGACAGTAAAGGAATGTTAACTATGTTGCAAATGTAATATTTATTGACTCATAAAGTTTATTGCTTTGGAGGTTCAATAATACTGACCGTAGGCCATTAATATCACTTATCCTGATTTTAGCTGGGCACCTTTATATGTAGAAATATTCATCTATCTCATGCTAACAAAATAAATAGGTAATTTACAGCACAAGCAAAGAGGGCTTTATAGTTTTCTGTGCTGAGCGCTGCAGCGCTTCTTTCTCTTCATTCACTTCTGGCCTCCAGCATTGATCACACACCCCTGAGCTGTCCAAGAGAGAAACCGCAGTGGTCACATTGGCACAAGAGGATGGGGCTGCTGGACCAAACAGGGCCATGCATTTCTGCTTGCCTAAAACAGGCAACGCCTCCCAAACCCCCATCACCTGGGCTTTTCTCCCTGTCATGTGGGGTGAGGAAGTGATGAGGAAGTGCACCTTTGAGCGAAAGCTCAACAAATACTTCTCCTGCCAGGACTCTGGGTCAGAGTTTACAGATTCTACGGGATCCTCTGGTCTCCAAGGTGAAACCAGAACTGGTCAGGTTGCCAGTTAATTTGTTGTGAGCACAGCTGTTACTGATAATTAACCCTTTTGTACCTTCCAGAATTAGGTATGTCCATTGCCAGCAATAAAGATCAGATAGGAAATATCTGACACCCAAAGCAAAAGAAGTAATGTTAATTAGCAACCATCAGCTGTAATTGTCATTCCCATTAAGATGCAGAATTATGTATTTCTTCGTTATAAATAACCTTTCTAATTGTACTTGATGTATGCCAATTTAATCAAAAAGTATACTTGCAACAGACTGATATTTGCATTAATGTAGCTTTGGATCTTCAAATCTTTTATTTCAAATTTGGGGAGAAAAAGCATAGTACAGCTGTATATCCTTTATATGTGGGGATCTTTTTCTATCTGGGTTTGGAGATCTAAAACATTTTATATTAAAATGAAGACAGTATCTTCTGGGATTGTTCACTGAAACAGAAATCTTGTCACTTTTTAAAATACCTGTAAATTTCTATCTTCCAGTCCTATGACAGCTCAGTGGTAATTGTTCCAAACTGATAAACAGAGGCAAATAACAGGCCTGCAGCACCGGGATTATGTTCTGAGGCCCCGAAGTAAAATGTTACTAGTAAGGCTTCTTCTCTCTGTTGTCCCCTGATATGTGGGAGATGTGGGAGTTAATGCTGTTTCTCTTGCCTGTGTGTGTGTGTGTGTGTGTGTGTGTGTGTGTGTGTGATGTGAAGAGAGAAAAGAAGATCTCACCAAAGCATACCAAATTACTGAATTTGGGGAACTGGAGATATAGTTGGCCTATTTCTGGGTAGTACTGCTCACCTCTCTACTCTAGCTTTTTTCAAAAAGGTTTTTCACCACAACACAGAGTTGTGAAATTTTGCTTTTTTTAGAGAGGGCATGTGCTCACCTGCATGTGGGGAGTGGCAGAGGGAGAGAATCCCAAGCAGAATCCTCCCACCCCTGCCCCAAGCGCAGAGCCTGACACAGGACTCGATCACATGACCCATGAGATCAAGACGCAACCAGAAGCCAAGAGTCAGACACTTACCCGCCTGAGCCACCCAAGCACCCCCAGAGTTAAAAATTCTTGTTTTCTTTCATTTTGTTGGTTTTTTAGACGTGTTGGAGAGGGGTGATTTTGTGGAGCTTGCTTTTTGTTGAAGGAGGTAAGAAAATATTTAAGTATGTATTTTCAAAGATTTAATAGCTTATTTGGCAGCTTTTTAAAAAAATAGCCTAGGGGCACCTGGGTGGCTCAGTGGGTTGAGGCCTCTGCCTTCGGCTCAGGTCGTGATCCCGGGGTCCTGGGATCGAGCCCTGCGTCCTTGGCTCTCTGCTCAGCAGGGAGCCTGCTTCCTCCTCTCTCTCTGCCTGCCTCTCTGCCTACTTGTGATCTCTGTCTGTCAAATAAAGAAATAAAATCTTTAAAACAAAACAAAAAAAAACACAATGTTTTTAAAAAAAAATAGCCTAAGAAATAACTTAATTTGATCTTTTTTTTAAAGACTGTGGTCCTTTCTTTCAAACTATATGCTTAATTGTCCTGAAAACTTTGCTGTAAGTTTATAACTTGATGAGCTCTCCATAGTGCACATGCTTGTGCCATCATGCTCACAGACGTCGCCTGTTTGTGCACGGCAGACCTGAAGCTTGTAGAGACTTGCTGTCCATTGAGGTTGATACTGAGGGACCACGCTCAGAATATTGGAAAACTGGGACCACATTACACTAATCCAGGCTGGAGAAATCCAAGTACCCTGCAGTCTAGAACTTAAACTTCTGTCTTGAAAACTGTATTTTTCTGTGTCTTTGGAAGAATGTCTGTCTCTTTAGATCCTCTGCCTATATTTTATTCAGACTGGTTTTTTGGTTTTGACTTGCTATTGAGTTGTAAGAGTTCCTTGTATATTTTGAATATTAACCTCTTACTAAATAGTTTATAAATATTTTTTTCAGTTTGTGATCATTTCCTTTACAGTTTGATGCAGGTCCCATTTGTTTTTACTTTTGCTTTTGTTCCTTGAGCTTTCAGTATCTTATCCAAAAAATCATTTCAAAGACCAGTGTCAAGGAGCTTTTTTTTTCTGTTTTCTTCTAGGAATTTTACAATTCCAGATTTTATAATTAAGTATTTAATCCATTCTCAGTGTTTTCTTTTTTAATATCATGAAAGATGAGAGTCCAGTCTCCTTC